GTTTGCAACTACTATTGTATAGTCAAAATAAGACCATTAAGTGTTTCCCTTAAGCTTTCCTTGAACCTCTAGGTAATAGGGAAAATTTTAATATTCATGTGAATGTAATGAAGCAGTTAACATGTAGCAAGTAAAGGAGAAAGTTCAAACTGGAATGAACAGAGGACCAATTTCAGTTCTTGTTCTCACACAAGTTAACACAGGTTGACCTTTGGATGGAAGAAACTTCAAATGAACATTCTACCTGTGTAAATCATGCTTACAACATTTCAGCCATCAGGAAAGAAAAGTGCATATGGAAATAACTCACAGAGGAAAAAAGTGAGTAAGGAAAAGGCTGAGCAGCCTTAAGTTAGTAAAATACACCATAAATTTATTGCTTTTAATAAAGCCAGATAATTCCATCTTCTTTTGTCTTTGAATACCTTTTATATTCACTTCAGTAAGAAGCTTCAAAACCTTCCTTATATCATGCTTAGTTTGTCATGTATGTGAAATCTATCACACAGCATTAATAAAATCAAATGTCCAGTTAAAATGATAGCTCTCACTAAGCTAACTTTTGCATACATTGCTCTGAGCAATACCTAAAAGCCTATCTTGTAAAGCTAAAGAAATTATGTTAATAATAAATGCTGACATTTTCAAACGAAGGCCTTCAGGTTACAATTTTCTAGTTAATAACAAGTAGCATTTTGAATAAGCTATACGAGATTTCAGTATTCCATTTCATGACATTTACAGGTTTCCTTTTAAGGGTGCAGACAATTTCATTTTATCATAAGATTAATAAAGCTAGTAAACAAGAGGCATTAGTCAGGCTTTTCCTACCTCAGCTGCAATTTGTGTTAGATTCTCAGCTCTCAGGGTGAAGAAGTGGGCTGACTTGAACAGATGTTTGCAAGAAACAGAAAGGGATATATATCTTCTACATACAGTTAGAAAAAAATATGGATGTACACATGTATGGATATTTATATATGACAGCTGGAAAACTTAGGCTATGATCTAAAACTCATTGAACCCAATGAAAAAGTCTCCCTCAGGCAACTCTGACTTTTTAATCAAGACCTTTGAAATTTTAACAGTGTAAAGCCTGGACATCTAAATTGTTGTCTGAATATATTCTATATGTAGAAATGGAAGCCATTGACTGAACTGAGGCCCTACCATACACAGACTAAAAAAAAAGTGGAAATGCATTTCAAAACAATCACAGTGGACAGAATTTTAGTAACTAAGTTTTGATCACAGACGTTTTGGAAGTACTTCTGATTTTCTGCAGTTAAAAGTGTGAATTTGCTAGCTTCACTTGCTAACATTTTTGGATTAAAACATCTTCAGCTTTTCATCCAGGTTGAGGTTTTGTTTTGCTTATGGTTTTCACTGTAAGAACCAGTGCATATAGGTTATGGAGAAATAATTCTATTCTCAGTTCTGAGTTGCTTAAAGATGCCTTCAAAAGGATGGAAGGACAGATGGGCAGAATGCTCTTTAGCTCACTGAGTTTTACCTTATTCATTTGCTCTGATTTTAAACAATTTTATGTGATGTACTTGTTAACTAGCTTTTGTATTCAATGCAGTTGTACTTCAATTTGGTTTACTGTGATTTTTCAAAAGCTGTTATTGGTAATTTCTTCCATATAAACTCTCAAATGAGAGCTTTCCATTTTCTCATAGGAAGTTTTACAGTTTGCAGGTCTTCGGCAGTATTGCACAACCACACATGGATTTAAAAAAACCCCAAACCACCCTTAAAGAGAATTAGTTCTTATTGGAAGAATGTAAAACCTATAGTTGCTACCTGCTTATCGCTATACATTTGCTTTTGGCCTTATCATCTAAGAGGATGCCAAATATTTTTCCAGAATGCCCTGACATTACAGTGTGATGTGGTGATGTGATTCACCTTACACTAATTGCAACCTCTTTAAGCTTTCTGGAAAAAACAGTGTCTTGGTGAAAGAAATTATCTGGTGCACCCCAGAGGATCATCTGGGCACTGTACCAAAGATTTTCAGTATCTGCAGAGTACTACTTGAAAAGAGGATATTCCAGCCTTCAGATATCACTTGCCTTAAACTGATACTTTTTTATCCTATTTTGTAGCTTGCATATATACCTTTATCCTCTATGATCAAAACCTTCATTCTTCCATCTGAACATTACTTTGTTTGAATAAACAAAAAACAATTCAATTCTGTTCTATGTGTTTTGTTATGACAAAAGGTGTAATTAATACACTGATTGATATTTATTTTTCTTTTTTTTTTCAGTGTTGGCCAGTGGCACAATGGCTTAGAAATATCTTACATATCTGCAGCCTTTCCATTCATAACACTGAGGGTTATGGGCTGATCTTGCATTACCCTGGGCAGGTAAGATCTTAGTCAGTGTAGTGTCTCATTTACCCTGTCGAGAAAATTAAGGTCAATCTCTATAAAGTCATGACATTATCAGTGTATAAAGTGATTTCAATAAAATTTAAGGGAACACACTCATGGTTAAAAAAAAAAAAAATTTTTTCCAATGAATGGCTGTTTTCCTGACACTAGAAATATATCTATCTGTTTCCTTTCAAAAACAGATGTTCTGCTTTAACTCTTAAATTATCTGCTGCTTTATAGAAACTTACATTATTAGTATATGCAATCCAAATATTGGATTGTGGAGGTTAATAAAGCTCTTCCCCCTCCTTTCCTTAGCTGAGGGTGTATAGTGACAGCATATCTGCACAGTGATCTGCTCAGCCAGGATAAAAGGAAAAGAACCATTTCTAATTGCATGTGTTAGATCTTGAGTCATACAACTGTTGTGAAACTTGGGTGGGGTGCATGTCTCCTCTTTCCATTAGAAAATGAAAAGCTTTCAGAGAAGACCAAGCAGAATGGAGGGCTGGAATTCTGCTGCATATTCATTTTATCTGAGAGAAGATAAAACAATTTGGGAAGCTTTACTTATTTCCACCTCCTCTTCCCGCAAGCTTTGTCACTCTGTAACATTAGGACACACTGTTAATCAAGTTCATGTCTGCCATAGCATTTCCCTCATCACATTTCTTCCTTATGAATACATGATGGCCTCCACCCATCCCACAGGATCACAATCCTTGTGCTCCTGAATGCAGCCCAAAAGCTTCTCAGATAGCACACAAGATTTTCTGGGATTTCTCTTATTTTTCTCTTTGCTTTCTAGATGTGTGCTGTTCTCATCTCCAATGTTCCTCTTAGAGACAATGACACCTTTCTGTTACAGCCAGGTATAATGAGAACTGAAAAATACTGCCATTCAACTTTCTCAGCCTTTTTCAGGATACTTGGAGGGGACCAGAAAAAGTCTAGAGACAGAGAAAACAAAAGCCCCTTCATACAAGCAGAATAGATGTTTTCTACATTATCATAACAAATACCTTGGTCATGTATTTAACAACAGCAAAATAAGTGTGAAACCACTGTAATCAGGGTGTGCCCATGTTACTGGTAGGTCACATATAGAAGTGAAAATATACTTTTTGACAACAAAATGCACCATCAAATATTATTTTTTTAATACATGCACAGTGGTCAGTGCAAGGTACTGATTTAAAAATTGACTTTAGGATAATTAAAAAAAGATTAATTATTAATCAATCTTTTGAAATTACATCTTCCCTTGGCACCATGATGATACCAAAAGTCAAAGGGAGCAACTGCAAAGAAACTCTAGCAAAGAGAATATGCGGTATCATGGAATGTCAGACTCCCAAGTTGCTGAACTAATAACTGTTTATTAACTATGTGCATGATTTTTCAAATGCTGTTTGCCAAATTCAGATGTGTTTTCACATGCCTGACCAAAGACACAGCTCCAACCTCAGCAAAGTCTCCGGTAAATTTAAGCCAGCTTCTCAATGAAATGATTTGGGTTTTCTTTAAATAACATGAGCAGAACAATGTACTATTCCCAAAATGCATTCTTAAATCTGGCTGAGCTGTCTCAGCTGGAATTTTTCAAAGCAATTACCCCTTAAAGCATTGAAACATATTTGCTGTGAAAAACATGGTGGTAATTTAAAATGCTACCATCCTTCTGTTATAATTATTTTATCTCTGGCAGTGTTGGAGGAACAAAACATGGGATTTCTTGGGTGCTTTGGAAGGAAATCTGGAATTTTAATACAAATTCCCCATAAACACAAGACAAAGCCAAACTACCCGATGACTTCTCTGAACTGAAGTAACAGAAGCTGGAGATGGTGACATCTTCACCTTTTTTCACTTCACTTTACTGTCAGTGCGTTAGATACATAAGAAAAAAATCTGCTAAAAGCATTGTTTTGGCAAAGTTATTGACATTGAAAATAGGATTTTAAATCAAGAGAGGGGTCTATTTGTATGTAGCCTGCAACACTTAAAATCTCATCTTTTTGGTGATATGAACCCTTCCAAGGCTACACTGAATTTTGACACCTGCCTATTTAACATCAGATGGAAACCTCTGATTTCTTTTTTCCCTCCCCATCTTTTTATGGAATTTCACATTTTATGGAATCATTTCTACTCAGTGAATAAAATCTAAGCACACTTCAAACCAGTCCTTTCCAAGGTATGAAATTACATAAAAATGCTATGAAAGCAATTCGCTGCCTTGCCGGCAGCATCGTTTAGAGAAGACGTAGAGTCACTAAAGAGAGCGGGAAAAGAACCACATTTCTGTCTGAAAACCAGAGGGCACCTGACAGCGATGCCCAGCCGACAGCGCCCGGCCCGGGGGAGGCTGCAGGGCTGGGCTGGTTTACGCTGGGATGCACAGGCCGGCCGGGTTTCCCCGGTGGGTACACGGGCACCAACCACCGCCTGTCCCGGGCCGAGGGCCGAGGGCGGCGCTGGGGGCAGCGGGGCGGCTCCCGCCCCAGGGCTGAGGGAGCCCGCGGGGCGGCCCCATTTCCCGGCAGGCTGAGGGCGGGGGAGCTCCCGCCGTGCTGAGGTGCCGTCGAGCCGCCCCGCTGCCCCCGCGCCCCCTCGCAGCGCCTCGGGAACCGCCGGCCCCTGCCGCCCGCCCGCGAAGGTAAACTGGGCAGGGAGGGACCGGCTGGACCCCCGAGGGCTCCCGGCGCCAGCCCGGGACCCGACGCGGCGGCCGCCGCGGGAAGGGAGAGGCGCCGGGCTGCGGCGGAGCGGGGGTGTGCGGTGTCCTGCTCGCCGTGGGGAGATGTCCGGCCCGCAGACACCGGTGCTCGGGGTGGGGAGGTGCGGCAAACCCCGCTCCGGGCACGGCTTGTGGTGCCCCCGGAGGGCGTCGGTCCGCAGTGGGAACACACTGGCCTCGCCGCTCGGGACAGGGACCTTCCGACGGCACAGCGTGGCCTCGGTGGCCTGAAACGGGGTCGTCGGATTTCGTGCCGCGGTGCTGGGTCCCGGTGTTGGTTGTTCTCCTGGGTAGGGTTAATCCCAGTCAGACCTTCCCTTTGCCCAGACCCTGGGAGAGCGTCTGGGAGGTTGATCATTCGCGGGGCAGGGTTGCCAAAGCTTCCCTGCAGCCTCATGAGCCTGGTGGGATCCCGAGGGACGCACAGTGCCCTGTTTCAGGTGGCAGCGTTAGGAAAGTGAAGGCAGGCGAGAGAAAACTGTAGACCAAACGACCAGAAAATACATCACGAGAATGTGATAACCTCTCAAACTAAGCATGTAAGACTGGTGTTATGGCAAAACAGCCAGTACAGACTTCCCAAGAACACAGTTTACATCTCTGCTGGTGGTGTATTTAGCCACGTGGTTTAGGGAAGAATTAGAAATGTCGTCTGAGTTTGAGAAGGTCCATCCCGCATGATACCCTCAGCTGAACACCACAGAGAAGTAACTGAAATGCAGTCTCCACAAGCTGGGGGTGGTTTTTCAATCCTTTGTGCACCAAAAGAGAAGTTATTGAATCCATTCATTTTCACACTGGGAAGATGTATGCAGTAGTGTCTTTTAGGAAACATATGATCCAACCTATCTGAACTGTCATTAAAAATTTCATGCAGGAATACAGCCTACAAAGAAAATATGCAGGGTTCCGCCAAACTAGCAACTTAACTTTTTGAAGTCACTTCCTGCCCCACATTACTCTGATTACTCTGGTTTGTTTGGCTCCAGCTTGACTCTGCCCCTCAGAACTTCTGTTCTCAGAATTTTGGCAGTCATTTTTCCTCTTTGGTTCTAGTTCTTTTTATGAATTACATGACATGCATGGTTTGTCATCTCTTCCAAACCTGCATCCAGAAAATACTCATGTCACATATGACTCTATTGATGTTACTGTCGGTTAGTTACCCTGCTGCTGCTCAACAGTGGTGTAAATGTAGTCAGGGCTTGATTTAATACATCAAATAGGTAAGCCCCAGTGCTCCAAAGGACTATGTTCCACCTGTGTAGATTCCTAATCATTTGTCTTCACTAACTTCACTAACTTTACAATTATTTTTTTCTGGTAACTTTGCAAAAAATGTGAGTTTAGGTTAAAATTTTATGTCTAAACCAGAATATTTAACTTTTTGCTGAACTTCTTCAGTTTTGTTTTCCCCTGTGAGCTTTCTAAGGAAACTATTGCATTTAATTGTACTTTATGCTTTGTGGAAGCATTGATTAAAAATGGAGATAATTTGGTTTGAAATGTGGCTTACAAATGTCTTTGGGAGGTTGAATCAATGGAGCATTACAGATAACTGAGTGATCCTTGTTTTATATCCCCAGAAAATTCTGATCAATCTGGGAATGCACATAACTGGAAAAATGTATTGTCTCTGAAAGGGTACTTTTAAACATTCTCTACATCTTCTCTTTTTTTTTCAAATACCTCCTGTGGTTACTACAGACTGCTCTGGTGTTTGGAGGGAAAATGACTGAAGGTTCAAAGTAATTATTGAGTGAATTGTGTTTTAATTGTTCATGCTGGAATTCATGATTATCAGATGTGCAGTATCTTCAAGCAGGGTATGATGCCTTTGAAGTGCTGGTTTATGTTGTTATCAAATGTATTTATTACAGCTAAGTTTGATTTTTACAGATCAAAAGTCACTATACTTGGCCAGTGTCTAATAGATCACATGCCATAACTCAGCCTGTAAATCAGGCTCAAAATTTGATCTTTTTTGTAATTTGTAAAGAGACTAACATATTTGATAGGGTAACAGTTGTCACAGAAGGGTCAACAGTATGAGCAGAAGGGCTCATATGGATGTTGGAACAGTTTAACTCAGTACTGTGGCTCAAAATTTCTTAGGTAGTAAAAAAATTTACCCAACCCATTAAGATTTTGCTTTTACTGTGTTGCTCCTTCCCTGTTAGAAGAAATGTCTTACAGCAGTAAGAGGAAAAAGAGGCAGAAAGCTTTCCTTGTCATGCTTGCCATGAGTCGTGAAGGGAGAGGAAGGACTTGGGCAACCTGTGGATGGAGGGATGAGCTATTGCATGTTTTTGGCCCTGTAAAATGTCTGAGAAAACTACCAGCCCGGAGTATTGCCACAGCTGAGAGAAGGGGTTGCCTTGTTCAAGAGGGGACTTGTCTGTTTTGCAGATTCATGAATGTCTGACCATTGAGATGATGATTTGGGAACGTGGATTTTCTTAAAAGCATGTTTCGGTTTCAGAGGTTGTTTTACAGGAATGTAGCTGAATTTGGATTTCCTACATATTCAGATATCAACGCCCTTATCCTTTCCTGCTTTTGCTGCAAACTACATGTATTTTTCTTTCCCACAGAACATTTTTTCATCTTTGGTTGCAATGTGTCTTGACTTGTTTTGTTGTAAGCCCATCTAACCTGTTGTGATGATGACTTCACGTGGTCAGGTGCTGATCTGGGGTGAAAGTGAAAATAAGACCTCTTATTTGCCTGCAGCAATATGGAAGCTTTAGTTTGTTCCCTTTGGGAGGTCTGTAGTGACAATGGTAACTTGCATCCATGTAGACCATCCAAAGCACTTCTTGGGCTTTATAGGCTCTCCTCATCCACCTTTAGACATTGGCATTTTAGTCACCTGAGGTTCTGAGTCACCTTTACAGTCTCTTTTAGAGAGAGATAGATACTGCTAAACCTTGGTTCAGCAGCCTGGTTTTAGACAGCTACCATGCTTTATAAAATTGCCTTTCTTTCCCTTCGTTGTCTGAAAAGAGCCTGGGATGACCAGGTCAGATGAAGATGTCATAGAAACCCCACAGTATGTCTTTTCACAATTAGGAGTGATCCATGATACAGTAAAATGGCTCTCGGAAAAGCAGGCATTTTAGGCAGCTTTCCTTATCGTCCAGCCTATTGATCCATGGCTACCCGAGTTATTAACAATATAGCTGCCAGTGTAGAAGATGTATGTTGCACTTTGAAAGAAAGAAACTGGGTACCATGTGCTTCTCGAGGTTCTGTAGGAGACTTTTGAGTGTCTACATCAGAATATACGAGCATGTGTTCCTCACCACCCCTCAATATTAATTTATAGTATTGCTCCTGGGCTTTGAATGGGAAGGAAGCACAGATGACTTTGATCTGACTTAAAACTTTACTGTGGGAATTCACAAACTAGTTTGGTAATGATTGTTTAAAAAGTTTAAGCCTGTCATTAGTTTCAAAGGCTTTCTTCCAACAAAGTGACCTTTCAGACCTGTGGCTAGCTAATTGCGCTCCTATTTTTTTGCCACCAGGAGCTACACCAGCCTGCACACAGCACTGTTGCGTCTTGTTGAACATTGATCCAGCATTCTATGAGTTTAGGCTCAAATAAATTAGGGCTACAGTCATTAGAAGTACTAGGAGTGTTTTGGGGAGTAGATGCATTATGAATCCTAGAAGAAAAAGAAGGTTCAGTATATACAAAACGAATTTTTCTGTGCTGCTCTGTTTAGACATAGATACACAGGCATTTCTGATGGAAGTTTTGCTTTGGATACATCTCAGTCGGTTTCCACTTTTACTTTCACTCTGTGTTTGCTTGTAATCTAAAGCAGCAGATGTAAAAGTGTGACATGTAACATTAATAATAAAGAATAAAACTGTGTATCTGCTGTCAGTGATGAGCAGACCCTGCATGGCTGATACCACCACCAACGGAAGGTCCTCAGCTGTCCTCAGCCAGTCCAACTGATACAATAAAAATTTTGGTGAAAATCTTGTCATTGTACCTACACCCATCAGGGAGAGTGGGAATGTGTGGGGAGCAAATCTGCTTCTAGCAGCATTGCTAGTCAATCAAATATAGAGAGAATAGCTAGGAGCCAAAATCACAGAGGCACTCACTGGATGCTTTTGCTGATAAAAATTGCAAATGACCTTCTGAGTCCCCAGTTTTAGGCAAAATAATGTGTCTGCCTCAAAGGTAACTCACCAGGAGAGCAGGGAAGTTCAGAAGAATTATCAATTAACCTGTTGGTATCAAGTCCATATTGGCAGCAAATGAGAACTTGTTCCTCAGTGGCCTTAGTTGATCCATTTTGATGCTCACTGCATCTTCAGGTAACCCAGACTGCAGACACATGGTTAATTTTCTTCTGCCTCAGAGCAAGATTTTGATGTACTTTTGAAGATTTTTCTAGTACTTTCTAACAATACTAGAAGCCCCCATTCCCTCACTTGCTATGGGGATTTCATTGAAGCACAAAAATAAGAAGGATGTATCAGCCCAAAAAGCATTTTTGAAAGGTGATGTGTTTTTTCTCTCAATTGCAAATGAAAAAAAAAATTAATGTTAGTCAAGTATACATTACTGTTCTCTGTGCTTTTTGATGAAATCTTATATTTGAAAGGTCTGCTGTACATGTGGCTTGGAGGGCTTATTTCTGAGATAGCCTTGAGCAAGTAAGAATATGGGCCAAAAACATGAACACAGATAACATTCCCAAATACTTGTTGTAGTTACGGCTTAGTTTTGTGCTTTGGTGACCACATCCTCATAACTGAGGGGAAGCTGGCAGACCTGATGTTTGAAAGAGCAAACACAAATGAGCAAACACAAACACAAGTGGTTTTGGATGCCAGTCTTAGAAAGGGATTCAGCATAAACTTAAGTGCAGTTCTGTCCCATGGAGGCAATATTC